TACGCACACGCTCTCACGCCTGCGTGGCGGCCGCCTGTGGACTCACACGGGGCCAGGCTGCGGTGCGCACAGTCAGGCAGCAGGTGGGAGGCTGGGAGACAGGTCCAGGGCCCGCAGCCTGCAGCCGCGGGGGAGCAGCGCGCAGCCCAGCCGAGCGCCATCACGGGGAAGGAGTGAGTGAGTTCCATTGGAAGGAAGTGGAGGGTGGGAAGGGGAAGGAGACCGGGAAGGTGGGGGCGGATTCCCACCGGTTCCTGCCTGTGGGTGTTATTAATCTCGTCCGTGTCCGTGGAACCAGAAGCATGTCGTGGTTCTGATGAATGTCCAGTGAGGAGAAAGGGCCGGAATAGGGTACAGAATTAGGACCTGGTTGGTGCTATGAATTGTGATTTTCTTCTCTTTCCATTGTGCTTGCCGAGCACGGCAACAGTGTGTTAAAAGCAAGGAAAATGGGTGGTGAGCAATGTGTGTATATTTAACATGAAGACGTGGGGCCTAAGTCGTTCAGCGCTGCTTGTGGCACATGCAACCCAGCCGTGTGGCCACGCCCTTCCCTGGGTGTGTGAGGGTGGAGCCAGCCTCACGGGGAAGGCAGACTGCGGCCCGCGGGCCAGACCAGCCTGCGGCGCCTGTAGACTTGGCTGGGACGCGGCCACCCCCGTGCGGTCGTGTGTGTTCTGTGGCTGCTGCGCGGTGCGGTCGAGGCCTAGAATATTCCTCTGCTTCAGACAGATGTTCTCCTGGAAGGACGGGTGTGCGGGAGCGCCGGGCCGGGGTATCTATCTGAGCCTCCCCCGTGGAGACCGGGAGAGCTCGCAGCCGCCCACGATTTCTCCAGGACGTGGCCACTCGCCAGAGTCCACAGGCAGCCCGTAGGTGCAGAAGCAGCAGAAAAGGGGGCACTCGGAGAAACAGAGATGCTGTGAGGGGCCGGCCGGGAGCCGGTAAACCCGCTGCTGTAGTTTCCCTTCTTTTCAGCTCCGTGGTGGGTTTGGGAAAAGGCTCAACTATTTTTATCAACTGCTGCCCTGTCGGAAAAGGTCCCGCTTAAACATTCATGAAGGACTCGTGCCTGCAGGGGGTTCTTCCGAAACGGCAGCTGCCGCAGAACGGGA